GACACAGTAGGCATAATTTATAAGGCTTACCTGCTTATACATATCAAAACGAGCTCCCTTGCTTTGTTTAGGAAATAGGTATCCTATCAATTATGATCAGCACATCTCATTCATATTGAGGCTTCTCTTTCTCCTACCTAATTATGCATAGTCATTATTTTAATGGCACTCATGCGTAAGTACTCTAATATAGAAGTAAGTTAGAGCATGTGGTAATGATCTTGCTAACTTATCAAATTAAGTAGAATACTTCGTATGTCTTAATGTCTAAAGTTAGTGCATTGAATTTATCTCCATGAAATAAAAGGATTTTTTTTGTGAGTTCTTTGGCACTAAATGTTTATCATATTCAAGGACAAGGAAAATTTCCTTGGTGTGTAAGGATTAACCTCTTTCCTGATGAGTAATAATTAAAAGGATTTTTCCTTGGTGGGTAAGAATTACACTTTAAATAATATTCAAAATTTCTTATTAATTATTGCTGAATTTTTTGTTTGCATAAAATTGATTGATGATCGTCTCTTAATGAGGGCCCACAAATGAAAGACCAAGGGCCCAAAGGTTCACGGTCCATCAATGGGAGAAATGACCAAGGGTCCACGGGAGGAAGACCAAAGGTTCATCAACAAAAGACTAAGGGTCCTTCATCATAAGGCTAAGCATTCACTATCAGAATATTGAAAGACTTATCTGACCAGGTGCAACCGCCCTACGCCAGGGTTGAAGGACGATCGAGTGAAGGCCATCCAAACTGAAGACTGAAGTCTATAAAGTCGAGTGGGGGAATCGATTTGCCTCTCGTCATAACCTGACTCAAGAAAAAAATAAAGCATCTCAACTATCTCACAGATTCCTCTGAGATTTCTCATGTGGGGTGGAGAATTAACCATCACATGACCACATAAAGCATCTCTGAAGGACCGCTTCGTCGAGGAGTACGCTACTTGTCAGTTGACAGTGATTCAACATCTGTCAAATATCATAACCTTGACAAGAGTTTATTGCTCGGGGATCAATAATCAATAACCATACTAGCATAACCGACCAGTAAAACCATGATGATCGAGTCAAGTCTTGCTGACTCGAAGACCATCAATGGCAGACTACCCTAATCCAACACAGTCAGATGAACAGGACTTGTTAAATCAGGACTGACTGATTTATGCCATCCGAGTCATTGAATGGCCGAACTGAAGGCATATATATATATATATATATATATATATATACATATGTAT